GTGAGGTTGGCCCAGGATCGAACATTGTTTCGTTCTGCTGTGCATGGAGTCGCTATGAGTCGGTTTCGACTCGATGGCACCTGACAACAACAACATCAGTGACTTGGAAATGTTTGTATGTTTCATCTGAATATTTCCTCATTGGTGCATCTCTACCCTCAGCTGTCAGTGGGGGGCAGCAGGGGGCATGAACCTCCCTGGAAAAACAGAGGACCTCCCACTGTGTAAGGGCTTTGCCTCCATTTCTAGCACAGTCAGATGGGAGTGGCGCTGGGGGTTAATGTGCTGGACTGCAAGGTCAGTTTGCATCTCACCAGCCGCTCCTCGGAAACCCTCTATGAGTCAGAACCGACTCGCAGGCACTTAGCAACAACAATGATCCCTGTTTTAAGCACATTCTTCCTTTGAAATCTAAGACTTGAGTTGTTAAGTGACGTTGAGTCGGTTCTGACCCATAGCAACCCTGCACAGGGTGAACTTGAACTGCCAACCTTGCAGTTCAACATGACCTTGCATCCCAGTGCATTAGCCCACAGAGCCTCACCACCAGGACTCCAAAACAGGGATAAGGATTTAAAAATTCTATATAGAGAGTTTGATAGACACAGTCAGCAAGAGAGCAGCCACATTTTCATAAAAGGACAAATAGAAAAATCCCAGCAGTAGCCACTCATATTCACGAATCTACCCCTTTCTAAAAATAGGATTGGCATTCAAATTTCCTGAAGTGGTCTACCTGTGTCCTAGGAGGAATGAGACCCTTGGGTCTGCATCATTTCTTCAGCCCTGGCTGCACATTAGAATCCCTGAGGGGGCTTTAAGGGATTTCACACCTTATGTTTGTTGGGGGAGTAACCACCCCAGAGCAGTGAAATCCGAAAGCCTAGGGGCAGGGGTGGGAATTGAAGAATCATGCTGAAATGTTTAGTCATCTGAAAGAAAGCACATGAGGCCCCATGTGAGGAGCGCCTTAGTTTTAGATCATTCTAAAAATACTCGCAGGCACAAGATCTTTTTTTTCCTTTTCTTCCTGTTCTCTACCCTTCCCTTGGAAAAATCCAAGTTTCATATCTAATTATTTCCTCAAGCTGAAGAAGATTCTCCTCCCACCCTTCTCCTAATCCACAGAACCAAGAAGGCTCCCCTTCCTTCCAGAGCCACGGGGAGCACCCCAGTGCTCAGGGAAGCAGTGGATGGTAAGTGCCGATGGGCTGCTTCTGACTCAAAGTGACCCTGTTTCCAAGGAGCAGCGGGTAGGTTTGAACTACTGACCTTGTGGTTCACAGTCCAGCGCCACAAGAAAATGGTCCATGATATTTCCCTGGTACCGCCTACTTTGTCCTGCTACAGGAAACTGTGTTACATCAACCCACCCCCCACAAGACACTCATGGACAGGTGACTCATGGGACCACCACTGACTGTCAGTGCAGCTTGATGGAAGAACAGATGGGCAGGAGAGAAGGAGCCCCCCCAGTAACACACACGGATGCTAGGTTCTAGCAACTGCAGAGGTTCTTCATGGCGCTCACACTCGCCACTGTACTGTACAGGCAGGGGGGGTTTACATGCTCTCAAAAATGGGGGGCTCACATCGTTCCAAACAGCTTGTTATTGTTCATTATAGTCTTACTTCTTCAACTTTTTATTTCCACAAATGCTCTTCACATCATCCCAACACGCCTCACTTAATTATTTTGGTAAATAAATATTGAGTATTCCCCAGCAGGCCCTGTCAGGTACTGGAAATATGCAAATGAACAAGATACAGCCCTGGCCATCAAGATGTGGCTGGAGCTGCAAGAGGCACATTGTTTGCACCCCGTGACTGAAAAAACTTAACTTTAAAGCCAGATTTCTGACCTGTTGCCAAACAGTAGTTTGCCATTCTGGGGGTTGCCATAGATGAGCAGAGTGGCTCTGTGTTTCCTAAAGAGACCCGACATTGATCCCCAGGATCAGGACACAGTAAAGGCAATCCAGCTTGCTACACGTCTCCCTGACTGGTTCCAGATCGTTTCCAAAACCCTGTTCCTGCCAGAGCCATGGGTGATTGGTTTTGCCTCATCTTTGCTACAAATGAAGGTACCTGGGTTAGCTTGCATTCAACAGCTAACCAAAAGGTTAGCAGTTTGAACCCATCCAGTTGCACCAAAAAGAAAGCTTGGCACTGTGCTCCCATGAAGAGCCACTGTTATTAGTCTCCTGTCTAGTTGACTCGATTCACAGGGTGTGAATTCTGTGTGTGCAGAGCGGAACGGCTCCACAGAGTGTTCCAAAGTTGTGACTTCTGTGAAGCAGACTGCCTGGCAGGGAAACCCTTGGGAACAGTTCTTTCTGTACTACATGGGGTCACCATGAGTCACAGATGATATAACTTCAATGGCTTCCGTTTGATTTTGATTCTACAACAAATGAACCAACCATATTTTTATCAAGGCAACTGAGACCCTTTTCAGGCTGCTGCATTGTTCCCGGCACAATTCTTTGCAGAAAACATTCGTCTGCTATCTGGGAAGAGAGCATGGTGGGGGTGAGTTCAGGAGACAAGGTGAGAGCCTCAGTAGGAGCTGGGGTTCGGGAGAACTCCTTTGATGGCAACAAAGACCACACAAGGAAACCCAGGGTGCAGCTTTGTACCAAGGAGGTACCTAGTCTGTGAGGGGGTGCTCATTCCTTCTAGTCTCTCCCACCCACTTCTGTGAGGAGAATGGAGTCCTGTGCCCCCAGCCCTCCACTTGACAAACCTTGCTTTTCAAACTCTTCAAACAGCGTCAGGCTGGTGATGCTAGGGCCTGTGAAGATGACGTAGTTCTTGCCTGCTGCATTACGGCAGAGGCTTTTGGCCACCAGACTATGGAGTTGGGGCTTATTCTTCAGAGCATCCAGTCCATCTGGGGCCCCACCTTCCTTCAGGTGGACGTAAATCTTGAACAGAAACACACAGGAGTCAGTGCACTCACAGCAGCAGGATCTGGGAGAATTGGGAGATTTCAAAAGCATATAACTCCCTTCATTAGGTTGGGAACTCATGGGAATGGCCCCCCCTCCCTTGTACCACTGGTTCTGTGGTCTTCATCACCCCCATTATCTACTCCACTCCTAGAGAAGACCAAGCCCAGCTCAGTCCTGGAAGCTAGTGACCGAGTCCAAGACTCTTTAGTTTATATGAAGGCCAGTGAGAACATGGATACAGGTGTAGTGATTCATGTCACCCTGAGTTTGTCAGGTGAGGTTTACAGGGAAATTCTCTAAGCAGCCAGAGGCTTCTTCTAGATGACTTTCTTTACCTTTTTTTTTATTTTTTTTTATTTTTAAATCTTTGCATTGTGAATGAAGTGAAGGTTTACAGACAAGCTCATTAGCATTACATTCAACAAATCCTACACTTTGTTCCATCTCAGTGACTGCAATCCCCTCCCTGCAACAACAGTCATCCTGCTTCCTCCCTCTGATTCCTAGTTCCATTCTACACAACTGTGTCCTTAGGTAAATGATGCCCCTTTGATTTTGAATGACTGACCATTCCATGTCTTCACCAATTGATTTTTTCATGCTGTCTTTGATCATCCATCAGTTGACTGGAAAGACTTCATGCTCAGAGACGATTCTTCACTCTCTCTTCTCTAGTTCAGTCCCACTACTCATCCTTGCAAGAGCCTGACTTGTGTTGTGTTCCAAGACTACAGCTCCAGAACGTTATCTTTCAAACGATGGGTGTTAACATTCTGTAAGATCTTTGAACCCACTAGCGTCAGTGGTGCCTTAAGTTCCAAGTTCATGGAGATAAAGTCCATGGCTTATTTAATTAACTAAATCAGTGCTTGCTTCACTTCTATGGCCAGTACACAAATAATTTATTATCTTCCTTGAGTCACTCTATGGTACAGAGAGCAGGGCAAATGAACTCCATTTAAAAGGCTACGGGAATCAAGGGAGAAGAGCAGAGAGCGGGACCCTACCCAGAGAAGCAGTGATGCCTGAGATGGAGGCAGACGATGACATGGAGAGATGGAGCAGCTGGGGACTTTAGACACAGAGAGGGAGAGGGGCTTGTGTCTAAAGTTGGGGCAGGTGGGCTTGCAGGGTATACCCTTCGGCTGAGTGATGATGCATGGAGGGGACTGTAACCATGGCAATGAAATGATATACGATAGGATGAATGTAAAACCAATGTTCTCCCATGTAAACTATCACATAATTCACAATAAAACATTAAAAAAAAAAAAAAAAGGCTATGGGAGAGATGGTTTGTAGCTGCTTGTTTAAGGGCAGAGGAAGGTCTATGATGCATGTCTCATATACCAGTTAATCCCATTCTGTAACAAAACCACATCCAATCTGGACAGGACCACAAGCTAGAGACATCTCTGCTCATTACAAATATTCCCGGACCTGCTCAATTTTCTTTTACTCCAAAAGCAAAATTCACTCCTGTCAATTATTTCTACTTTGACTCTCTTTTTAAAAGCTAATCCAGTAATTCAGTGTATAAAAATGAGTAAGAGTTAAGTAGGAGCAGCTAAAAGAATAACATTCCTAGGAATACATTTAGCCAGAAAGGTCATTGAAAACTATAAAACATTACTAAAAGAAATTCAAGATCTAAATAAACAAAATTCTGTATTCATGGGTTAGAAGGTTTAATATTGCTAAAATGTCAATACTAACCAAAGAAATCTAAATTCAATGCAATTCTCAAAAACATTCCAACAATCTTCTTTACAGAAATGGAAAAATCAATTCTCAAATGTATATGGAATGACAAAAGGACCCTAAATACTCAAAGCAATCTTGAAAAAAAGAAAGAGAAGAAAGTAGCCGAACTCATACTTGCTGATTTCAAAACATACTATGAAGCAACAGTAATCAAAACAGCATCGCACTGCGATAAGGATAGATATAGAGACCAATGGCACAGAACAGAAAGTCCAAAAATAAATCCAGACATTTACAGTCATTGATTTTTAACAAAGTGCCAAGTCCATTCAATAGGGAAAGAGTGTCTCTTCAGCTGGGAAAACTGGATTCCCACATGTGAAATAATGAAGTTGGACTGATTTTTCATATAAAATACAAAAACTAATTCAAAAGGGAACAATGGTCTAAATGTAAGAACTAAAGTTATATAAATCTTAGAAAGAGGTAATACTTTGAGACCTAAGTTTTACTAATGGTTTCTTAGGTAGAAAACAGGAGTGTGGTGGCAACATACAATAAGCCATGAACTGCGAACCACAAGATCCATGGTTTGAGCCCAGCAGTCACTCTGCAGGAAGAAGATAAGACTTTCTGCTCCCATGAAGATGTAAAGCCTCAGAAACCTTATATACAGTTGCTGAGAGTCAGAACTGATTCAAGATCATTTAACAGCAACAGCAGAAAGGTATAAAATAAAAGCACCAGCAGCATAAGACAAAATAGATCAATGGACAGGTTGTGCTTATACAAGGACTTTATCAAATTGTTTGAATCATATATCTGATAACCACCACTCGTCTGTCAGTTTGTCGTCCTGTGGTGGCTTGTGAGTTGCTGTGATTCTGGAAGCTATGTAATGGGTGTTTTAAATACCAGCAGGGTCACCCATGGTAGACAGGTTTCAGATGAGCTTCCAGACGAAGATAGACAGGAAGAAGGAGTCATGAACTACTTCTGAATATTTAGTCACTGAAAACCTTATGAATAGCAGAGAAACACTGTCAGATATAGTGCCAGAAAATGAGCCCCTCAGGTCTGAAGACACTCAAAATGCGACTGGGGAAGAGCTGCCTCCTCAAAGTAAAGTTGATCGTGATGACGTGAATGGGACTGTCATTTGCTGATGGGAAACAACTTAACATGAAGAGAAACAGCTGTAAACATCCATTAATAATTGGAACAAGGAATGTATGAAGAATTAACCTAGGAAAATTAGAAATTGTCAAAAATGAAATGGAACGCATAAACTTCGATATCTTAAGGCATTAGTGAGCTGAAATGGACTGGTATCGGCCATTTTGAATCTTGAATCTGACAACTATGCTGGGAATGACAAATTGAAGAGGAATGCTGTTGCATTCATCGTCAAAATTATCCAGATCAGTCATGAGGTACAACGCTGTCTGTGATAGGATAATATCCATGTGCTTACAGGGAAGCCCAGTTAATACCAACCACTATTATTCAAATTTACGCACGAACCACTAAAGCCAGTGAGGATGAAACAGAAGAATTCTACCAGCTTCTTCAATCGGAAATTGATCAAACATGCAATCAAGATGTATTGATCGTTACTGGTGATTGGAATACAAAGGTTGGAAACAAAGAGGGAGAATCAGTAGTTGGAAAATATGACCTTAGTGATAGAAATCATGCTGGAGATCACATGATAGAATTCTGCAAAACCAATGATTTGTTCATTTCAAATACCTTATTTATTTATTTATTTATTAATGTTTTATTGTGAATTGTGTGATAGTCTACATGGGAGAACACCAGCTTTACATTCATTTCATCATCCATCATTTCGTTGGCATAGTTATCATCCTGTCCATGCATCCTCACCCAACCAAGGGGTGTGCCCTGTAAACCTGAACCTCCCCACCACAGTCCTCAGCCCCTTTCCATCTCCTGATCCCAAGCCCCAGCCCCACCAACTCTTGACGTTGTCTTCTCTGCCTCCAACCCAGGCCTCACTGCCCCTCTGGGTAGGATTCCGCTCTTTGCTCTTCTCCATTGATGGTCCCAGGGTCCTCCGCTCCAAGACTGATAAATTAATCACTCCCCTCTTTGTTACAAAATGTCCATCTTTAGCTTTCCAACCCTCACAATCAGTCCTGATTACAAATATTCACCATTGCATCACAAGAGACCCATCTATATTT